TCCACCCTGAGCTTGCTTTGCTTTACTTTGCTTGACTAGTCTTGTGACCCCTTGTTCTCCCCCACTTTGCCTATGGGGGTGTGTCAGAACATTATAGCTTATGCTGTTGTGTAGGCTATAGTGGGGTATCCCATAGGGGGTACAACCAATTAGGGTTTCATATTTGTACTCACTTCATTTCATAGTTCATCCATCCTTGTTCAAATCTTCTCAGGAGGAGCGGGCGCAATAGGAGGAAGCGGAAGCGGCGGAGGCACAGCACCACTAGCCCCACCTGAGCCCGAGAGCGACGACGACGACGTGCAAGAAGTCATCCCGCAAAATCGCTATGACTGCACCGTCATTGGAATGCAGCTCCTCGGACTCCACACCGCTACCTCAACGGTGCCCTGCATCATCGAACCGAAGAACCCACGCCAAGCTCTTACGGGACCCCACAGCAAGGAGTGGCGCGAGGCGATGGATGCGGAAATCAAGGCAATCGAATCTCGCGATACCTGGGTGCTCGTCTACCGAGCAGCAGTCAAGGGAAGGAGGATTCTTTCCGGCAAATGGGTCTTTCGTGTAAAGACCGCATCTGACGGCACAATCGAACAATTTAAGGCGCGCAGGGTCATGCGTGGCTACGATCAAAGGCACGGGATTGATTTCGACCAAACATTTGCGTCGGTCAGCTCACACCTTTGCCAGAATTCTCCTCGCCATCGCTGCCGCACGACATCTGCCGCTCCGACAAATCGACATGAAAAATGCGTTCCTGTACGCGTTAGTAGATGCTGTGATCTACGTGGAGCAGCCTCACGCATACGGTAACGGGGACACGCGTGTTTGCCAGCTGCGAAAATCCCTTTACGGGATCAAACAGGCGCCGAGGCTCTGGCAGCAGTACCTGCACAACATCCGACTTGAAATCGGATTCAAGCAGCTGCCTCACGACCCAGGGATGTACCGCCGCGATTTTTGCGGCGAATACATCTTGCTGACGGTCTACGTCGACGACCTCCTCTATATAGGGTCAAGCCCCGAATTACTTGAGCAGTTCGAGAAGAACCTCGCGGGGCGCGTCGACATTACCTGCAACCATAACGTGAAGCAGTTCCTCGGCCTCAACATCACTTACTCGCCAAAAGCTATCCACCTCTCAGCAGCCAAGTATGCAAAGGAACTTGACACGCGCTTCAACATCGCACCTGCACCGCTCTCCACCCCTTACCGCACTCCAGGACCCAACCACAAGCCTGACAACAAAGCCCTGTCCCCTGTTGGGCTTTAGACTTACCAGCAGCAGTTGGGATGCCTGCTCTTCGCCTCTGTTACCTGCAGGCCAGATCTCTCGTACATCGCGAGTCAACTGGCTCAGTATCCCGCAAAACCAACAGCTGAAAACCTGTCAGATCTTCAGCAAGCGCTTCATTTTTTCATTTCCACGCCCAATGTTGTACTTTGGTACTCCACCATCCCAACCGCATCCTTCAACCTCATCAAATATGTGGATACTGATCATGCTGCCGACCCTGACAATCGACAATCCAGGACAGGCTTTCTCTTTCGCCTCGAGCCCAGCGGCCTCATCTCCTGGAATTCGCAGAAGCAAGAGCTGGTTGCCCTGTGATCGGCCGAAGCAGAGTTCATCGCAACAACGGCAGCTGTTCACGAAGGTCTTTACCTTCAAGAGCTACTGCAGGAGGCGAAAATTCCAGTTTCGCCGAGCTTCCGTCTGCACTGCGATAACCAGAGCGCGATCAGGATCGCGAACAAACCTGGATTCGTTAACCGCACCAAGCACATCGCACTGCTGTACTTCTTCGTCAAGGACGAAGTTGAGAAGGGCAAGGTTGACCTAACCTACTGCCCGACAGGTGACATGGCAGCCCATTTTGAAACAGTAATTATTGAAGTATGACTCTGCACTCCTTGCCACAATCAAAGCACGCACTACCGAGAATGAAGACGAAAAGACGGAAGTGACGCGAAGGGCCGTACGGCTACGAAGGCATTTGGACCGTTGGGCAGACAGCACCAGGCAGCAGCAGTGGCGAGGATTCTGCCAGAACAGTTTCGTAACCGTCTGGAGTCGCACGGTTGGATTTCGCTGTAATAAGAGAATGTGTTTTTAGAGTACATGGCTAGCTAGGACATTTCGAATTCCCCTGTACTCTTATTCATATTCCTTGTACTTACATGTTTTAATCTATCTCAAGCATTTTACATTCACTCTGCTATTGAGGTCAAGGGCCCACCACCAACACCTAGTCGTGTGCGAACCTTCCTGAGGTGATCCTACAAGCACTTTCTGATCGCAACAGGATGCAACATGAAAACAGTGAGGCACACAAAGTTTCAAATCTCTGTTACACACTGTGAATTGACGTCTGACTTCAGTAAACAGTAAGTCCCTCATAGGCTCTAAAGTTATTAATCATGGATATCATTAGCTGTACCGTCAGCTATTTTGTTTAGGCGTGCTGTTTTTCTAGCTCCTTGTATCTGAACCAATGCGAACTACACCCTAATGCTCACTCAACCGCCCACTCTGAACACGCCCGCTGCCACTCCATACGCCCAGTGGTCGACATTCACAGCCAACGGCCCGCGCGTTACTAGCCCACGACAAAACCAAGATGTTCGAGTTTCCCAGACAAAACACGCTGGGCTACCCACAATTTCCGCAACTGTAGTTTTTTTGTCAACCTTTGTTCCACATTCAGTCCCATTCTGCCCCTAGTGAACGCATGCTCGAGAGAGGAGCACAGGGAAAGATGGGGAAGGGGACTGAAATGGGCATCATGTGTAAGAGGAATATGGTGTTGTTGGGAGTGTACTGGGGGACCGCTGCGGCCCACAGTGCTGTACACTAGGACCACATGGCCTACGTGCGGGCGGACGTGAAGTTGAACCCACTGCCTCGAAACAAGAAGTGGGGCCTTGTCTTGTATGCTCTCGGACAGAACCCGAGTCAATTTACTGTAGCCGATACTATGGTAAGATAAGAGAGGGTACTTCACGGTACAGTGAGCAACGAGCGTTGCTTGCTCGGCTCGTTGTGGGCGGCGGGTGCATTTCGCCATTCCGCGCAACCTTCGCAACATGGGTTCCTGCATTGGCGAACGTCGCAACGGGGAAACTCGGGAGGGATCGACCGGCCATTATCTCCGATACTCAAATTTCGCCTGAGCGCATTCTCAGGTGTAATCAACATGGAATTCCTCAACGTTGATTGGTCATCGCTTTTTAGTCACATTTCTCTTGCTGGTCAAACTCTTTAGGAAGTGACAAAAACAGGACCGTCCAGTTTATCCTCCCGACTTGGATATGTTTCATCATACGGAAGTTTAGGTAGTAAGAGTATGAAGCCCATACAATTCACTTGGTAGCGATCGGTAGCGCAACTGAGAGCTAAACGACGCTACCGAAAGCACTAGACGACGCTACCGAGAATTGTTAGGGCATACCAGAAAAATAAAACCCATACGGGACCTGAACGCATTTTCGAGAGAGGTCAACCCTAAACACGAGAAAAGGCTTTTTTTTTTTTTTGGTTGATGCCTCCCGAGTCACATCCCTTTCCGATTGGGTTGCAATATACATTTCTAAAACTTTGGACGGCTTACCGTATTAGGGGTTGATCCGTCCCGTAATTCATCTAGGTTTCGCTTAGTTTTTTTTTAATTGTTTTTTGCACGTGTTGCAATTTTGTTTAGTGACTGTATACGAAAAACAACCAGAATAGCTTAACACTACATCGCGAAACCATGTTTCTGTTGGTGATTACACCTGAGAACCCTCTCGGACCTAATCTGAGTATGTAGGATATTGGCCGGGGATCGACGACCGTAATTACCGACTCCAATTCTGGCTGAACCCATAACACGTGTGGCTCTGATCTGAGGATCATCCCGAGTAATCGACACTGTCCAGAATCTCGATCTATGGTAAAAATGACCTCGATTTCATCCTAAACCGGCGGAACAACCTAGAAAACGTCCTGTCAATACTGTACCGATGGCAGAGCCTGCTCTCCAAACTTGTTTCTTCAGAAGCAGGTTCAACCTGCTTACTCTTCTCGAGTGCAATGGTAGTTCCATGTTTTGAAACTGTCAAGGAACGTCACCCTTATTGATTCTCGACCACCCTCTCACCATTCCCAAGAGCCGGGACATCGCGTCGCGCAAATGAACGGTTCCGATGCCTCCGAACAACAGGAGCTTGTGTATCGTGTGGTGTCGCCTATTCCTCCTCGGCCTGTCAAGCCAAACAAACGTCATCGACGAAGTCACTCCGATAGTTTCCAGTTCAACCCGACTATTCCGAATCAAGCTCCAGTAGCTGGGTCTCGGCTTCAGGCTGTAACTCACAGTCATCAGGCGAGTTCGCGTGTCGGAATTAAGAATGAAGAGTCTATTCCAGAACATGAAGTTGCGGAGGCTCCTCCTGGTCACCGCCGTCGGCATTCGGGAACCATTTTGTCTCCTGATTATTCGCAGGACCCGCAACGTTCTCCGGACGGCATGAGACAGGCGCGAGAACAAGCACATCACGGATACAGCTATAACTCGTACAATCCGCGGCCTTATACGAGACGACTATTTTCGCCTCCAAAATCGCCGCCAGGTTCTGAGTTAAGTTATGGTGGTGTTGGACAAGAGACTGGACGGTCGCAAGCAACCTATCAACAACGGCCGCTAAAATCACCATATCATGTATCCCCTGATTTAAGCAGCGACGGCTACAACAACCGCAGCAGCGGCAGTCCTACCACGAGCGTAAACAGCTGCGTCAGTCGCTCTGGTGGAGGTGGAAACGGACCTTACGGAACCATGATTGGCGGCAGTAGCTCTGGCTACAGTGGTAGTAACCACGACAGCAGCTCGGCTGGTTACAGCAGTGGTTACAGCAATGTTATGGGTAACAGCTTCGGCAACAGCGCTGTCTACGGCGTAACTGGTAGTAGCAGCTTCTACAGTGCTAACAACGCGGCTGGCGGGTATGCCTTTTCACAAATGAGGCACCCAGCCGAGGTTAGCAGCGGGGCTGGCGGTGCTAGCAGCTTCGGCGGTGCGAGCAGCTTCGGCGGTGCAAGCAGCTTCGGCGGTGTGAGCAGCGCGGCTGGCGGGTATGCCTCTTCATATACAAGGCACCCAGCCGAGGTTAGCAGGCCTCCTAAGCCCATGGCGGCTCATCACCGCCGGATCCGCTCCGAGGATTTCTCTTTCGCTGCGTATTCCGCTGCCGACGCGACCGACGGGTTCCAGGGCTTCCCTGGAACGAACGCTGCCGCGCCAGAGGAGATTAAAGCCGGCAGCTTGGAAGGCTGGCAGTTCGCGCAAGCAGCGCATTCCCCGCGTAAACCGGGGGGAGGGGGAGGCGGAGCGGGAGGGGGAGCGGAAGGCGGAGCGGGCCTTTGGGCTAGAGGGTTCAGGGATAGGGGGCAGATTGTACAGCAGCAGCAGTCGGAACAATCACAGCAGTCGGAACAATTGCAGCAGTTGCAACAGTCGCAACAGCAGCAGCAGCAGCAGCAGCAGCAGCAGCAGCAGCAGCAGCAGCAGCAGCAGCAGCAGCAGCAGCAGCAGGCGGTGCAGCCATTACAGATGCCGCTGGCACCCCTAGGGACACCCACCACTACCGGACAAAACTCTCGCTCTCAAGACGGCAGCCCTGTAGACCTGAGGCGCACCGTCCTGCCACCCCTGGGAATACCCACACCCACTGCCGGGCAAAACTTTCGCACTCAAGACGGAGGGGCAAGTGGCGCAGGGGGAGTCAGGGCGGGAGGAGCGCCTGTCAAGAAAAAGATGGGCCACAGGAGGTCCGCTAGCTGTGAAGCCTGGTTCAATCCAGAGGCGGGCTTTAATCCCCATATGAGCGGCTCTAATTCCCCTGCAAGCGGCTCTAAACTGCAAATTGGCGGCTCTAATGTTCTAGGAGGGGAGGGAGGAGGGGGAGGAGGGGGAGGAGTACTAGGAAGGCAATCGGAGAAGGAAGAAAGAGAGGCGTGTACCTCAGGCGGGGGAGGTAGAGCGGAGGTTGCCCAGAGCCCACACAAGCCTAGAATTGTCCTACCATCTACCAGCCCCTATAATAGCCCCTATGCTAGCCCCTTCACCAGCCCACGCGTGGCAACATCCCCGTTAGTAGGCTCCCCGTTACTAGGCTCCCCCATGGTGCCTCAAGCGGGTTTTCGAACCGGATTTATGACTCCCGGGCATATGACGCCTGGCGGGGGAAGCCTGGTGGGTAGCCCTGGTTCCATAGCTGCGCAGCAGGTTCGGGACCAAGCCAAGCTGGCCGAAATCCAGAGCATGTTTGCCAATTGGAACCACGGAACGCCGATCCCGTCCCCCAAAGCTGGAGCCTCGGCTCGGGCCGAAGCTGGCTTCCCGCTTCGGACACCCAAGCCTAGCGACTATTACCGTATAGATGGGGAAGCTGAGGGGGGGAGAGGGGGAGGCAAGTGCGGAGGAGCTAGGGCCGACGCGTGCGAGTGTGCTAGGGAAGCCTTATGAGGATATTGGGATGAAATACAGGCTCGCTGAGAAGGAGCTAGGGCGGGGGAACTTTGGAGTGATTCACGTAGGGCAGAGCCCTCAGACTGGGGAGCAGTTTGCATGCAAGAGCATCACCAAGGCCAAATTTGAGGTGAGCAGTGCTGCAATGTTCCATTGGTGCATGGCATGCAGTGTATATAAGCTAGCTGAGAAGGAGCTAGGGCGGGGGAACTTTGGAGTGATTCACGTAGCGGAGAGCCTTCAGACTGGGGAGCAGTTTGCATACAAGAGCATCACCAAGGCTAGATTCGAGGTGAGCAGTTTGAGGTGAGCGTGCCGGAGGCCCTTCATCACCTCTTGCTACTCATTCACCCTCTCCCACTCTCGATGGTACTTTTGAGAATTGTCAAAAGTACCATCAGTGAGCATGCCGGAGGCCCTTCATCACCTCTTGCTACTCATTCACCCTCTCCCACTCTCGATGGTACTTTTGAGAATTGTCAAAAGTACCATCAGTGAGCATGCCGGAGGCCCTTCATCACCTCTTGCTACTCATTCACCCTCTCCCACTCTCGATGGTACTTTTGAGAATTGTCAAAAGTACCATCAGTGAGCATGCCGGAGGCCCTTCATCACCTCTTGCTACTCATTCACCCTCTCCCACTCTCGATGGTACTTTTGAGAATTGTCAAAAGTACCATCAGTGAGCATGCCGGAGGCCCTTCATCACCTCTTGCTACTCATTCACCCTCTCCCACTCTCGATGGTACTTTTGAGAATTGTCAAAAGTACCATCAGTGAGCATGCCGGAGGCCCTTCATCACCTCTTGCTACTCATTCACCCTCTCCCACTCTCGATGGTACTTTTGAGAATTGTCAAAAGTACCATCAGTGAGCATGCCGGAGGCCCTTCATCACCTCTTGCTACTCATTCACCCTCTCCCACTCTCGATGGTACTTTTGAGAATTGTCAAAAGTACCATCAGTGAGCATGCCGGAGGCCCTTCATCACCTCTTGCTACTCATTCACCCTCTCCCACTCTCGATGGTACTTTTGAGAATTGTCAAAAGTACCATCAGTGAGCATGCCGGAGGCCCTTCATCACCTCTTGCTACTCATTCACCCTCTCCCACTCTCGATGGTACTTTTGAGAATTGTCAAAAGTACCATCAGTGAGCATGCCGGAGGCCCTTCATCACCTCTTGCTACTCATTCACCCTCTCCCACTCTCGATGGTACTTTTGAGAATTGTCAAAAGTACCATCAGTGAGCATGCCGGAGGCCCTTCATCACCTCTTGCCACTCATTCACACTCGTCCTCACTCGCCAGTCTCATTCATCTTGCCTCCCCCCTTCCGTTCCCCCAGTGTTGGGACGACGTGGAGGACGTGAGGAGGGAGGTGGGCGTGCTGGAGACCCTTTGACAAGTCTTCCTTCCGCTCACTTATTTTTTTGTTGCTCCCTCTGCTGCTAATCCCCTTCTATCCCCCTAGTGTTGGGACGATGTGGAGGACGTGAGGAGGGAGGTGAGCGTGTTGGAGACCCTTTGACAAGTCTTCCTTCCGCTCACTTATTTTTCTGTTACTCCCTCTGCCGCTAATCCCCTTCTATCCCCCCAGTGTTGGGACGATGTGGAGGACGTGAGGAGGGAGGTGAGCGTGCTGGAGACGCTGAGAGGCAATCCGTATGTGGTGTCGATAGTTGAGACGATCGAAGATGAGAAGGTGAGTGTGTGGGAGGGGTGAGCGAGTGGGAGGGGTGAGTGTGTGGGAGGGGTGAGTGTGTGGGAGGGGTGAGTGTGTGTATCCCGGACTTGCCTTCAAAATCCACCTGCAGACGGAGGTGAGCGTGCTCAAGACGCTGAGAGGCAATCCATATGAGGCATTGGAAGGTGTCGATCGTTGCGACAATCGAAGACGAGACGGTGCGTGTGAGGCATGGTAGACTTGAAGCACGCCTATAGAGATCTCCACGTGATACAATTGAAGTTTTGAGACGTCCCAAAACTTCACTTTTATCACGTGGCATGGGAGACCTGAAGTACGCCAATAGAGAGATCTGAGAGTCAATCCGTTTGTAGTAATAGTTGCCGTTGATTATTGAGAGGATAGAAGCTGAGCAGCTGAGTGCGAGTGGTAAAATTTGCCATTGAGCCGGCTTAGTAAGATGACGCATGTAAGGTGCCGTGAAGCTTTTTTTTAAGTCGACTAAAAAAAGTGAGGTGCGGTGAAGCTATTTTTTAGTCGACTCATAAAGTGAGGTGCTGTGAAGCTACTTTGAGTCAACTTAAAATTGTGAGGAGTTGCGAAGCTTTTTTAAGTCGACTCAAAAAAGTGAGGTGCCGTGAAGCCATGCTCCCCTGCTCTTCCAATCGTCCCTTGCCCCTCCCCATCTCCCCTTGCCCCTTTCACCAGGATGTGTACATAGTGATGGAGCTGTGCAGCGGGGGTGAGCTCTTTAATCGCATTCTAGACCGCAAGTACTACGGGGAAAGGCAGGCAGCTCGGGTGATTCGCTCCGTCGTGGAGGTTTTGGGTTTCTGCCACGCCCCGGGAATCGTGCATCGGGACTTAAAGCCCGAGAATATCTTGCTGGTGTCGAAACGGAGCGATACAAGGGTCAAAGTGATTGACTTCGGCATGGCCTGCATCTTGAAACCGGGTAATTTGAGCAAGTCTTTTATTATTATGGGTACTGTGTGTATTACCCTAGAGTCCCAATACATTATGCTCGAGTCCACAAGGAGTGATACACGCGTCAAACTGGGTATGTTTTGAAATTCTCTTGGTTAAAATGGTTAATGTGGGTATTAAAAGAGTGACAGTGGGTTAAAACTGGCATGGGTGACAGTGAGTGCTCTTGGCATTGGGTCTCCTGCCTCAAACTGGATATGATTCGAGCGACTCCGTGTTTGAGTGGGTACTCTGTGTTTAACCCGAACCCAAAAGAAAAGAAGAAGAAAAAAAAAAAACATGCATTCTGGTTTTGCTCCTTCCCTTCCCTCCATAAACCTCTTTCCTCAACACCTCTTCCCTCGTGCCCCTTCACCTCTCCCTCCTCCGCTCCCCAATCCCAGGCGAGCGCTGCAAGCTGAGAGCCGGAACACCCAACTACATTGCCCCGGAGGTGATAGCCAAGAACTACAGTCCTATCCATTTACCCTGTCCTACCCATTCTCTCTCCTTCCCCCCCTCCCATCCTCCACCTTCAGGCGAGCGTTGCAAGCTGAGGGCCGGAACGCCCAACTACATACATGGCCCTGGAAGTCGTAGCGAAGAACTACGGCGCGGAGGCGGACGTGTGGAGTGCGGGGGTGATCCTTTCCTTCCCCTTATCCAACCCGTTCTACCCCAGGGGGGCATCCCCATCCCCTCCCTCCTCCCATCCTCTCCCTCCCTCCCTCCCTCCCATCCTCCCTCCCTCCCTCCCTCCCTCCCTCCCTCCCTCCCTCCCTCCCTCCCTCCCTCCCCAGGCGAGAGGTGCAAGCTGCGTGCCGGAACTCCGAATTACATTGCTCCAGAAGTTATTGCAAAAAATTACGGAGCTGAAGCGGACGTGTGGAGTGCGGGGGTGATCCTGTACGTGCTGCTGTGCGGGCTGCCGCCCTTCTGGGGGGACACCACAGATGACGTCTTCAAGAGGATCCTGTGGCAGGAGCTCGACTTTGAGACACAGCCATGGCCCGCCGTCAGCACCGCTGCCAAGGATCTCGTTCGCCGCATGCTGTGCCGCAAGTATGAGCGGCGGATTTCTGTCGCCGAGATTCTGAGTAAGTCGGTGGTGGGGTGGGGGCGTGAGCAGGTGAGCTGTCTGCTTCTTTGGGTGTCATCTGGGGCTGAAACGGCCCAGGAATGGAACCGAACCAAACCAAGCCCTGGCCCGCCATCTGCTCCGCTGCCGAGGATCTTGTGCGATGAGTCGACTCAAAAATCGACTCATCACACGCTGCCAAGGACCTTGTGCGCCGCATGCTGGGCGTGGGTAGGGAGGGGTGGGGTGGGTTGGGGTGCGGTGCGCTGGGGTCATGAGCAGGTGGGTCAGCACGTTCGACCGGCGGATCACTGTGGCTGAGGTTCTGAGTGAGTATTACTGGGTGTAGTCGTGCAGGTGGGATGTATGCTTTCGTGGGGAAAAGTTGGGGTTGAATTGGCCTGGAATACCCAAGCAGAGGGATGTGGCCCGCTGTCAGCACCGCTGCCTTCCTTCTTCGTTACGTCCCAATTTCCACTCTCACTTCGACTCCCGTTCTCAATAGAATGTTGGGCTGAAAAACCCTTAGGATCTTTGCAGGGGTGAACTCTGGGTAGAGTTGGTGTAGTAGCGGAAGCGTTAATTAAAGAGTTGTGAACCACCTTGCGCTAGTATGTGAGGGCAAAGTAAGCTAATTAAAACAAAGAGATACAAGCTTTTATAAGAGTACAAGGAATACGAAGAGATACAGTTAATAACCGTTTTACTATTGCTGTTGCGGTTCGATACAGTGACGACTCGGGCAACTGCTCAATACCGAGTCAGTTGTTTGTCCTTGCTGTCGCGCTGTACTTTGTCAGGTCAAAGGTCGCTGACCTTTGACTTTCGCGTAACCTCCAACAGTTACTTTCAACCTCCGAGGGTTGACTCGCCGGTGATTCGTTATACTTCGTTTCTTTTGTGTCTTAGTGTTTCGACACGACAGAGGCGCTTAGGACCGATTGTTTCCAACATAGAACACCCATAGACCAAGGCGCTAACTTAACGGCACTTTGTAATGTTGTGGGAAAAACGAGGCCTTTGTTCCCTCTCCTCTCACTCCCTCTCCCCTTCCCTCTTTCATTCCCTCTCTGCGTTCCCAACAGAGCACCCATGGATCAAGGCTCTAACTTAACATGCCCTTTTGATGCGCCTCAAAAGAACACCCAAGGATAAAGGCACTAACTCAATGGGCCGTTGTAATTTATGGGGACAACATGGAGTTTCTAGACGTTTCAAAACACTCGGAGGCAACACTCAGGGACCAGGGTTCCGCTAAGACAGGTACACGTGTGCAACTCAATCAAGAGGAAGCCGTTGAGAGCAATCCATCACTTGTCTTGCGCCTGCATCTGTGCTTTTGTCGATTATGTGCTGGTGTGCTTGCTGAAATTCGGTCTTGAGAATGTCAACATCCAGCTCATACACATGTACAGTAACTGTGCTTTCGCCACTTTGTGCTAGTGTATATCCTGCAAATGGGTTTTTGAGAACTCTCAACCTCCAGCTCATACACCTGCAACTGAGCTAGTGTTCTTGCAACTGCCAGTGTGCAAGTGCCAAGTGTGCTACCATCTACCGGTAGCGAAACACCAGCTACCATGCTTCCCCAATGTGTAAAGATACGCAATGCAACTTGCTGGAGCATGTGCAAGTAGGTAGTTGGTGCTCCCTCATGCAACTGTAAGAGCACGGCTGCCCTCTGTAGAAACACCGAACCACCATATGGAATGCAAGCTAAGCCAGCCAACACACCTTGCTGCCACCCATGAACTTATATGCTCTGTAATTATACTATTGTCAGACCTTTATCACAGGCTCGCCAATGAGGTTCGGGCATGGCTTTGTGCCTTGAAAGCAGCAAAATGTGCTCCCAGGTTTGGTGACTCACACTTCCAATTGGGCGGCAAACGCACAGCAGGCTGTCTGCTATAGCATGTCAACGCACCTGCTTCAGGGGGAGCGGCAGCCCAGCCATTTCCGTTGCTGCTTGTTAGGTTTGGAAGGAGAGGCTGGGCGGCATATATGCCTGGGTTGTCGCTAGATTTTGTGGAGCAGCTTTGGCTGTAGCCGTTGTGATAGCAGCCACTCTGGTTGGAGCAGCTTTGGCTGTAGCCGCTGTGACTGCACCCGCTCTGGTTGCAGCCATGAAATTTGGTCATGATGTGGAATGCGGGAGTCAGGCTGGGATTAGTTTTGAGAATTCTCAAAACTAATCTCAGACTGCACCCGCTCTGGTTGCAGCCATGAAATCTGGTCATGATGTGGAATGCGGGAGTCAGGCTGGGAGATGGGGAGCAATCGACTCTGGTTGGGGATGGGGAGATGGAGATGGGTAGCCGTTGTGATAGCAGCCACTCTGGTTGGAGCAACTTGGCAAGGCCGCCCAGCCAGACTGGAATGTTCATAGCGTTTGACTCTCTGGCTGATTTGGTTTGGAAGATGGATTTGGAGGAAGGGTTGGAAAGTGGAGGGTCGGAGAGTGGAGGGTCGGGGAGTGCAGGGTCGGGGAGTGCAGGGTTGGGGAGTGCAGGGTCGGGGAGTGCAGGGCCGGAGGGCAAAAGGCCGGAAAGAAAAGGGTAGGAGGGTGCATATTCGTCGGCAGCAGCATTGAGGGGGAGAGGCGCGGCGGAGGTTGTCCTAGTGGAGAACGAGCGTGACTGTAGCGCACGGAGAAACTTTTGAGATTTCTCAGAAGTGACAGCAGTATTTGGGAAGAGAGGCGCGGCGGAGGTTGTCATAATGGAGAAGGAGTCTGACTGTAGCGCACGGAGAAACTTTTGAGATTTCTTAAAAGTGACAGCAGCATTTGGGGAGAGAGGTGCGGCGGAGGTTGTCATAATGGCGAAGGAGTGTGTGTGACTGTAGCGCACGGAGAAGCTTTAGAGATTTCTCGGAAGTTACAGCAGCATTTGGGAAGAGAGGCGCGGCGGAGGTTGTCATAATGGCGAAGGAGTGTGACTGTAGCGCACGGAGAGGCTTTAGAGATTTCTCGGAAGTTACAGCAGCATTTGGGAAGAGAGGCGCGGCGGAGGTTGTCAAAATGGCGAAGGAGTGTGACTGTAGCGTACGGAGAAGAGCCCAGGAGAGGTGTGCAGCGGGTGTGAGGCAAGCGGATCTGGCGAGGAAGGCAGAGGCTGCTATAGGGGAGTGACTCACAGTCCTCACCAAAATCAAGACAGCAGGCGATTCCATGGTTGGCTTGGAGCTTCACGGTCCTTAAAGCCCGAGTCTAGAATGGTAATGTTTCATAAATACTGAACTTGAATTTATGTTTGTGAAGGGTTGCGAGAGTTCAATTCGCAGAACCTGGGTGGCGAAGGTTGACGAGCGCGGAATGAGACCCTGCGTACTGTTGACCACTTTCAAGTTCAAGAAACCTGAAGGCTGCACAAAAGGACAAAAGTGGCACAAGGCGAGAACGTGGAGGGTCCGAAGGATCACACCTGAAAGTCGAATGTGTAAGGTGGCAGTGTACCGTATTACAAACTGCTGTACAGCATGTAAGACTGTTGTGAAACTTATAAGATGTGATAGCAATTCCGAAGTGGAAATAAGTTATTTTCACATACCATAATCTGTGAGGGTGAAAGAGCAACAGTAATGTGAATTGCAGAGGATTTCCACATTTCAATACAAGTTGAAACCAGGAAAAAAATAAAAGATAAAAACACATGAGATAGTTTGCCTGAAAATGACTGCCTCATCCATCTCGTGCCCCTTCTCCCTCTTCCGGTTTATAACCGCGAAAGGTGCGTGGTGGTGGTGCGCATGCATTTTGTGAGTCGTAAGCCGGGGGCGCGACTTGAGAAGACCCTGGAGTGAGAAGAGAGGACAAGGGGGGGAACGGAGGGAAGGACATGGGGGAACGGGAGGGAGGGACAAGGGGAAAAACGGAGGGAAGGACAGGGGGAAAGGGAGGAAGGAACAAGGGGAAAAGCGGACGGAAGGGGGGGGGGAAAGGTAGGGAGGAACAAGGGGCAAAAAGTGTTAAGAATACTAGGCAAGAATTGAGTACATTAGGTCAAGATGGGGGTACAAGGCTAGAATGTCGAGAGAAATTCTGTACCCCCTAAAGCTAGCCCCAATACAGCCTAACTAACAATAAACATATAGTTTGACACACCCCCATAGGCGAAATGGGGGATAGCCAGAACAAATACAATGGTCACAAGATCAGTCAAGAGAAGAAACAAAGCACAGCTCAGGGTGGATCACAAAGTCACCACACACACTGAGCACAAGCAAGAGGCCACAAGGCCAGTTCACATGCAGAGCACAAGCAATACAGTGATCACAACCTAGCAGATGTAAGCATACAGGAATATATATAGATCACAGTACAGGCAAAGCCTACAGCAAGTGAGGAAACGTAGGCACAAGGCCCAACAAGGTACAAAAGCGCTGATGATCACCAGGCGGAAGTGCCTTGGTGAATATATCAGCTGTGTTGGCCCGAGTGGCCACGTAACGCAGACGAAGCTGACCACGCTGCTGCAACTCTCGAGTGAGGAAGTAACGCAGAGCGATGTGCTTCGTTCTGTGCTCCAGTCTGTGCTCCTCACACAAGGCAATGGCGGCCTTGTTGTCGACGTACAGCACTGGAGGAGAACGGGGCCGCTCTCCCAGGTCGGTCAGCAGGTAGGTGAGCCAGCGTAACTCCTGTGCAGCCATGGCTGTGGCGTAGATCTCAGCCTCACAACTGGAGCCGAGAACGGAAGACGAGCGTGTAGAATGCCAAGAAACAGAGCCAGAGCCAAGGCTGAAGGTGTAATCCTGTGACGACCGCTGCGTAGCCTGGTCGTCAACCCAAGAAGCGTCCGACTGACCAGTGAGGACAACGTCGCCCCGCCCTCCAAGCACGAGCCCCATGCCTGATGTACTGCACAAGTAGCGCAGTACCCTCTTCGCAGCATCCATGTGCACCTTTCGGTGTCGACCAGGAGCCACGTAGCGAGCCAGAAGGCCAAGAGGGTACGCAAGGTCAGGACGAGTGCAGGTCATCAGGTACATGAGGCAGCCAACTAACTCTGGGTAAGG